ATGGCGATCACAGGCGATAAGGTGAATCATGTAAAAGATTTGTTAAAACTGAAATGACGCATGGAGGATTTAGGACCGGCGCACTGTGTTGTTGGAATTGAAATAAATTCAACTGAGGAAGGTGGTTACTCACTCAGTCAACCTTCTTTTATTCAAACTGTCTTAGAAAGATTCAACTCTGAAGCATGCAAGCCGCCTTCAACACCTTTCCCTGGTGGTACTAAAATACTGAAGGCCAGCAATAATGAAGTACTAGAATTCAAGAACTCAAATTTACCATACAACAGCTTAGTTGGTAGCTTGATGTATATAGTCTGTCTCAACATCTATCAAGGCCATCTTTAATCGCTTGGCAGATGGGAATGCACGTCCTCAGATACGTGAAAGGGACCCAAAGCTTAGGTTTAATGTATTCTCCTCAAGATTGTATCATTGAAGGAAACCAAAGCTGGTGTTATCCTGAGTGCTACACCGACTCCAACTGGGCAGGTGATCCCACTACTCGCCGTTCCACAACCGGTTACGTGTTCAAATTGAATGGAGCAGCCGTCAGCTGGAAAAGCCAACTTCAGCCAAATGTCTCCTTATCATCCACCGAGGCTGAGTACAAAGCCACTACTGAGTACAAAGCCACTACTGAAGCTGGGCAGGAAGTTGTATGGCTACAAGGTATATTTGTTGGAACAAATCGCTTTCACATTATTTATTTCATTTTCTGACTTTATTTCTAAAATACAATTAATAATTAACTCTATGTAATTTGTGTCATAAACTTACTCACAACCATTTTGTCCGCAAACCTAACCATAAAGTGTATCGCTAATTTAGTTTATCAATCTTGTATCGTGAGAAAACTTCTTCTCTCTTCTTTAATCATCTCTGAAGTTTTCTCACTCAACACACTATCATTACAAATCCCTCTCCGGACAACTATAGTTTCCTTCTTGACATTTGACTGATTCTGTTGTTGATTGATATTGATCAGGGGATACAAGATCCCTTTAATATTATCTAACATATCATTAGGTCAAAGCGCTCCAACAATTCTTTGTAGTGACAGCACCGGAGCTGTTTCCTTAACCCAGAAATCAATCTTTCATGCCCGCACGAAACACATTGAGGTACAATACCACTGGATACGAGAACAAGTCGAGAAGAAAATCATCAAACTTCGCCACATAAGCAATAAAAATATGTATGCCAATACTCTAACCAAACTTCTTCATCCAGGACCTTTCCGAGAATTCAGAGATCAAACTGGCATCCACGTTATACACGGACAGCTGAAACAGGGGGCATGTTGAGAGACATATCTGTCTCTCACTATTTTACTCAGGTTTCAGCAGTAGTGAAAGGTGATGGATAACTATCATAGAATCATTACATACAATCCATACACGTGCCCCACATAAGCCACCTTAGCACAATAGTATTAATTTCAATACTCAAACCTAAACCTAGAATACTCCTTTATTCAAATAATGCGCCTCCTCCACGCATCATACAGACTCTTTTCCTTACCCGTTATTCTACGGAAGGAAAAGAGTAAGTCCCTTATAATTCTCTATTGTTTCATATTCATAAACTGATGTCATTCTTATAATGTTCTGTATTTGTCTTCTTTATTCTATTTCACCTTTTACTTACGGCGACGCTAGATCTGATAGCTGAAGCTATATGTGTCAATCTTTTCTCCTTAACTTTATCCTTAACCTGAAAACCATTATAGGTTAGAGGATATCTGATCTTTCCAAACCATATTGTTTCCTTTCTATCTAACTCTAATCCTCTTATCCATTTATTGTTCTCTCTCTATGTGTTTAGGTTAGTTTGTTCAGGTAGATAGTGACAGAAGGTGATAGAGGCTCACCTTTAGAAATCGTCACGGGGTATCAGGTGAAATATTATTCTAAACCCGTTATTCTACGGAAGGAAAAGAATCTGATAGCTGAAGCTATACGTGTTGATCTTTTCTCCTTAACTTTATCCTTAACCTGAAAACCATTATAGGTTAGTTTGTTCAGGTAGATAGGGACAGAAGGTGATAGAGGCTCACCTTTAGAAATCGTCACGGGATATCAGGTATTCAACAGAATTGTTGCTTTTCATGATCACTGTAAGTTTTGAAGATTGATTTGTTGGTAGGTAGTTGTACATTACGCCGACGTGGTGTGTCTTCCTCTTGATTGAACGTAGGTTTATTATCTTTAGAAGTGATAGAACCTCCTTTGGATGAAGATGCGGCTTTAGAGGCTTTTTTAGTCATCCTGGCAAGAGGCAAAGATGATTATGATGTAGATTGGGTTATGGTACTGTTTGCTGGTGTAGAAATAAAAGATGTTGAAGGAGTAATATCTTCTGTGCAATAAGAGGATGTATCTTCTTTGCCACAGGAAACAGAAGAGGATATATCTTCCTCTGGACACAAAGAATCTTCATTTGTCAAGCTAATGGCACCATCATAACGTGATGCGGCTTGTCCCATCCTTGCTAGAATCAATTGTCATGCCTCCAAATCCGATTGGGACTTAACCAGCAGATTAAACTAGATGGATCAAAGCGCTGGGCTTGGAAGTCGCTCTTTGGAGATTATTAGTGCACTCCTATATTGTGAAGTTGATGTGGAGTTGATTGATATGGAATCAACTTCATGTTACATTGTTCTCCGGTGTCACGGATATGTGGGTATATTGATAATATCAAGGTTTGTCGTAGGATTTCTCATCAAATCCAGTGTTTGGTTCCCAGTATGTGGGCTATTCAACCCTTGTTTGGTTGTTCGTCTTCATGGGAACTTCCTTCCATGGTATGATGAAACATCTGCGGTGTAATTTATATGCCCTTTCGGTGTATAATTGTAATATGGAACACATATTGTCAATTTCACACTGGGCAATTTTGCACCAAGGCAAACCTGTGTAGCCCGGCCCGGTGCAAAATTGATTGTTACCTCCGGGCCCGGTTTTTACACTGCAATTTCTTACACAGCAATTTTTTGTGTAAAACGTCCGGTGTAAAATTCAATGTCTTGCTCGGGTGGCAGATTCTTACACCAAAATTTTTACACAGACATTATTTACACGGACCAAAAAAATCAAAGGCTGTAAAAAATTACAAAAAAAAGCCATTTTTTTGAATTTTACACCAGGTCTGTTTTACACCGGGTTGGTTGGTGTAAAGCGGCCGGTGTAAAATTCTCCTACCCCTTATAAAACAACAGTAACTGTCTTACTGTATTTAACCTAATCATAGAACCACAATTTGTGTGCACTTGTAGTCCAAAGATTTCCAAGGTTCAGACTATATAAACCCTGAAAATTCAACCAGATTGAGAAGATCACATTATCACATTATCATTCAAAAACTACACAACTTTGCTTTTATTCATTTTCCTGGAACCTTTAAACTTTGCTGATCAATTACCAAACTTTATAGGCCTGGTTCTACATACCTTGAAACTCAAACCTTGTGTCTTGTTGCTTATTCTGTGTGCTCATTCAACTTTGTTTCTGATTAGACTCCATAATCAGTAATCCTTGTAATCTCCATTGGGTGGAATTACTTGTAAGGAAGTAGTCCTTGGGTACTGATTATATCAGATTTGGTATTTGTCTGATATAAGAAACTCTAAATCTATGGGGAAATCTCTATTAGTCAGAGTGTAAAGTTCCTGGTGTTATAATAGACTTTAACACCACCTTTTTTGACCTTGCTTTGAATAAGAAGAGGATCAAATTAGGATTGAGAACTGCAAGTCAGTTGCTCTTCTTTGTAATCATTGTAAAGACAATGATGACCCCAAACTCCCTGGGCTAAAGCCTTTGTTTAAAGTTCAACTAACTGAAGTCTTTACTTATTCCAAGCACAGACAGCATATTTGGCTTGGATGCAAATCTCCCAGGAGTTCTCAGATTTCAACTCCAAGGGAAGCTCCCACCGAGGATCCAATCCAAGGCAACAGCAACGGCCAAAATTTGCCTTGGAGGTATTCCTCAGGTGCCCTTTTCCTTGGGGGCCATCCAAGGACTCCTCGGATGTTTGTTGCCAAGGCAACTATGTGGGAAGTAAAGTAAAGCTCCTACGCCCAAGTCTCTATCTGTCCATACTTGTAGATATTGATCTGCACAACTCTAGCTGAAGTCAATAGATTTTCCACAACCTTTTTATTGAATCTACTAGCCTAACAGAAGCTAGTAGGCTCACATATACTGAGTACTGTATTCACTGCCTTCCTGGGGCTGTGAGTCCAGCATAAGTTGAGTCTGACTCAAAGTGGCATCCCTGGGGTACACTTTTCCTCATCACTCTAATGTGAATTTGCCTCAAAGGCTTGCCGCATTGCCCATGCATCACTCTTGACCTATGGCTACATAGGTTGTTTTGCCATGTTTTGTTTGAGACATATCCACACTTCAAGATCACGAAATTATATATATTGAAGAACATATGGAAATACCACTGTTTTACCAAGAAAAAAAAGGGATACAAGATACATTTTGTTGAATTGAATTGTGCAAAAAAAATTGGTGAAGTCACACCTTGAGAGCAAAACTGATCAATAAGCTACCAAACATTTTGCCAGTGTTAAAAACAATGTTTAGAAATCACATGTGTAAATAATTTCCTTATCCTAATAACCTTGCTTTACTAAATGAAGCGATAGAAATTTTTTGTGAATGTGCAAGCGATAAAAATTAGAACAATCAAGTCAGATCAGAGCGTCAACTTCTAGAAAACATCTCATCAGTACAATTTTTAATGACACACTATACCCTCAACGTGCAAAGAAATATTCAAGCAAAAAAGTAAAAAACAAAATGCCAACCAGAGCAAGCTACCCTGTATTTGACCCATCAAGCTTACAATCAATAAGCAGACCGCGATCCATCAAAACAACAGGAAGACAAGTGAAAGTGGAAAAGCTAGTTATCAAGATATCAAATAAAGCATGTTGCGACGTATGGGGAATTGAATCAAACTTCGAAGTATCGTATGCGCAATTACCATCCGAATACTTCACTGGATATACATAGCAAACGGTTCTAGTCAGTCCCAGATTTTCCTGTCTTATGAATCGATTCAATTAAACTCACGAGTGTAAGGTGATTCCACCTGCTTTGGACTCAAGCGAGCCACTAGCACGAGCCACGGCTTTTCTCGTGGCATTTATCAAAGTAGTCGGTCCACAAACACCTACACCTACACCAGATCCACGAGCCACGTTTCGGAAGTTCGCAGCCGTAGCTGTAGACTCAAGAGCCTCTTCAATTAAGCTTGCTACATCAACTCTTGTGGGAATCAGATGAGAGAGATGAATCGTATTGGCTTCTCTAGAGGCGATGGTGGATGTATAGATTCGAAAGCTGATCTCTAGGCCTAACTCCTTGGCGAGGTCTAAAGTCTCATTCACGCTTGCCGAAAATGCTTGTGCCATTCCTGAAGATATACAACATACCTTAAGCTTCTGGTGCCGAAAAGACAAGACTTAAACTGGACTACTTACCTAAGTCACGTAATGCCCAAGTAACATACACCTTTCTGGTCTTACATTTTCCTTCTCTGAAAGAACCAACAATCTAGAGAAAAGGGAATCCAAAAGATTAGAGATATGATGATGCAGCATACATTACACAATCACTAACATCTTCAAGCATTGCTGAACAGTACGTGAATCCGCTACCTCCAGCAATCAAAACTACCGTCTCATAACGAGCTAAATCTGCGTAAAAACTTCCATAGGGTCTGTCATGGAATCCAATGATGTTAAAATGATTGATGGTTTATTTGTAAAGAAGAAAGTTATCTTACCCTTCAATTATGACAGATACACGGTTCGGCTCATGTCCAGATTCAGAAACAAAGCTTCCTTTATCTTGGACTGATTTTTCGTCTGTCCATGGGATATGTACGACATTCTCTTTGCCTAGGACTTCAACAGCCTGAGTTAAGGTGATATGAGTCTTTTATTAAAGAAGAAAATACCCAAGTGAGTATGATTTATACCTTTGTGAAGTCTCCAGCTGCTTTTGCGACGAGTATTAGACTTTGGTCATGGCTGAAGGTTGATGTAAAACAAGTTAGCAAGAGAATTGCGCTCTCATACGTTGTCAAACTGGCTATGATGATGTACGTGTAGAAGAGACTTACTTTGCTGGGGATAGGCTAGATGGGGCATTTGCAATTGTGAAAGGATGCTATGTTCATTTGGTAAAGGATTCCGAATTGAGAAGTCAGAAGATAAAGATTAAAATTGTACGAGTTCAAGTTCCAAACCTTTTCAAACATTCGACGACCTCGCATAATGCGAAGGTAGACATGTTGTCCTATCGTTGACAAAAGTCTTTTGTCAGACAAAAGCTGACGAAAGATAAAATTTGTTTTCTAACCTGCGCGCCAACCATCGCCTACATTCTGCACCTGAATCTTCGTCATATTGCCGGGAACAGACTTTAGGATAGCTGATTTGAAACGGGTCTTGATCAGGAGCCCTTGGAGTGCATCGAACACTACGGCAGCAGCTGCTACGATGATGTACTATTAAAAAAGGAAGAATGAGTGCAAGATCATTTGCTCGGTTAGAAAGATGAACATACCGGTCTGATAGCAACTCGATGAAACCACAAAGCCACGAGTACAGTGATATAGCTTGATTTGGAAATTCAAAAGAAGCTTCAGATATTGGCTTTCATAACCAGATCGTAAGAATGTACATACCCAGCAATATGAAGGAACAGGAAAGTCTGATATAGTCGTGACCTGAAGATCTTCAATGAACTCAGAAGAATCACAGCCAAGGAAACCACAGCGATGAAGCCCGTTAATGGAGGACCTGCAAAGACGAGGAGCGGGGCACCCATCGAATGTCGCATGTAGAGCCATAGACCGTAATGTGCAAATGCTAGAGAAATTATGCATCCACGTCAGTCACATTGGTGAAGCTATAGATACGATCACTTCGATCAAATATTGAACACTGACCTCCCAGTATGAGGAGACGACCTGATGAAAGCAAGAAGGTACGTATTCAGAAGCGCGGACCAGAGTAGAAGTAGAGGAGGTAGTAAAGGCTCACCAGCAAACCGATGAATAAAGTTCACTCGCTCGTAACCTTTTCCTATGAGTCCAAAGGGTGAATTCTTCATGGACAATATGAAAACCAGAGGAAGGCTCGCAACGGAGATCCATGCCGGACGCTTGAAATTATGTTGCGGTGCAGCTAAGTTCTCGTACACGAAAGCCGCTGCAATGATGCCTAATAATATCTGATGAAGACGTTTTGGAGAGATTTACTTCGGGTTTAAATGATACACAAAGATTAATCTGGAAAGCATTGGATGATGCGTACCAGGAGGCACAGTATCTGGCCAATGGTGAGGTTGATCAAAGGCAGCGTGGGTAACAATGTGGCATTGTAGACTCGTCTAAATGATACAAACAAATACGAGGAGGAAGGGGGATCTTCCTTCGTAGCCGTGTTGGAAGATGGGCCTTTACGTTTAGCAGCAACTGCTTTAGATTTTTTGAGCCATACACCTGACTTGAAACGGCCTGATGAGAACCAGATGAAGATTAACGGAAGAGCTATCACAAATGCAATCTGATTGTGGAAACCGTCTCGTCAACATCAAAGGCTTCACTGGTAAAACCATGCGGAAATCTTACAGCGCAAATGGCTATCTCCGCCGCCAGTAAGTATTTGACCATGTCTTTAGACGCAAGCATCGCAAGAACCATAGGGCTCGGGCTGGTAGGCGCCGTAGGTGTCTCGGGAGACGACATCCCAGGATACCTATTTGGATGACCGAGATCATCAGTTTGATTAGCCATCTTGAAATCGGGGTATAAGACAAATATACTGATGAAGTCCTGCTTACTTCAGATGTGGCAGAGTCTATGTGAAGGATGATGGCGACAACACACTAGTGTTCACTTTTAGATTTTAGGATCAAGCTGATCAGATAAAAAATGTTCACTAAGGAGAGACGGGTGGCAGAACAGTGAATAAATCAAGCTGGGCAGAATTCCTGATTCTGACCACCACGATGAAGTTAATGGTTGGGATTCGTTATCTACCACGATCAATCGAGAAAGATATAGCACTTGCTATTGGTACCAAATGGAACAGGCGTGGGGGGGATGTAACTAGACATGGATAAAGGACTTCATTTAATATATGTGTCTGGGAAGCAACCAATGACACCAACATGCAAAAGCATCACGTTTTTTCGGGTGATATGTCAGATTCTATGCCACTATGCCTCATCACGACCGAAGGATTAGTCACCAATCACAGCACGCGGAGGCGGTCGTCGCGGGGGGATGGAGGTACGCACATTAAACTCAAAAACCCATGAAAGTATCTGTCAAAGTTTTCCAAAGCTTGATTGTCGAATGAGCAGCCCTTCAACATCCTTCAACTTTGTGCGATCAGCCCGCTTTCGCACGTATTAGGGTCCTTTCAGTGAGGGGTTTACTGCGTATATGCATGAACATAAACTTACTCTATGAGCGTATGGAGGTAACCCGGAGACCGGATCTCGCCAGCGCAATACGTTATACGAGAGATGATCTGTGTCATCTACCTCGGCGATTAAGAACAGCTGGTGTTTAAGACGAGATATCTTGGAAATCGGAATTCACACGACTGGGTGAGAGGTAAACCTTCAGCCTGGATTTAGATTTCAAGTTTGATAAGACTGTTTGACTGTCTCGAGCATTTCAGGAGAGGGTTCTGGTTTAGCGAAGAATGTCACCCTCAACAATCACTGCGCATATATGCAGTCCTCATGCCTCCAAGTACCCATGCTGACCGATCGATTTCATGGACGTTTATTTTTGGCTCAAAACCCACGGTTCACCAAACTCAACTATGTAAGTCCTTATCCTTTTGAGCTGGCGCAGGAGGGTTGCATAGAGTGGACTCCCATTTACAGAAGAATCTACATTCACATCTGCTATCACCAAACAGGATATCATACGAAAAGATGATCAACCCGAAGCTTCCAGTCCTTGTGTGTCTCTTTTTTGAGAAAAAAGGTGTGACGGTTACACAAATTTCATATTTGAGGGTGTTTGATTTAGTGACCAAGTGGATAATTCTCTTGTGAGGCAATAATTATGCAATGCTTCCTGCATCATCAAAATATCTCGCCTGATTTTCAACCAAAACAACTCTGATTTATAGTTCCGGGTGTTGAACACAGCCTCTTTACGCAAAACTGTTGAAATGCGCGAGAGAAATTGTGTGACTATCCACGTATCTTAAACTTGAAGCCCCTTTTCCGACGCGGCCAACGTGAAGCTTATACATATCTATTGGAGCAACAGTACGGGTTTATCAGTATATCTATTGGGTAGTTGGAAACACAGCACTTCATTAGAAGGGTGAAGGTATACACACCAGTTGCCAGTACATACCAACCCTGAAATTTTGTTGCTGAGAATGAACAAAAATATGCTGAATGTATCATTTCTCCTGTAGTCACTTTGGCTAGGATTTTGGGTCTCCGCCCTCAGCACTAAGACAAAAGGAAATGAGACTGCCAATATAGCATTTGGCGGCCCAGTTTGCCTAGAAGCTGAAATCTAGGGTCTCATGAAGCTTGTAATCTTCATGAAAGCATATGAACCAAGGAATTATTTGACCACAATGACATGGGATCCAGAGATCAAGCGGGGGCATTCTTTTTTTTTAAAGTGCTTATTGGCATTAATTGCATACAACACTAGCTAAACAAGTTAATTAAGAGAAGGACTATTTTACCTTGGAGAAACGGCCATATAGTCGGAGCAAGGGAAATATGCAAGTGTGGAATCTGTCGAGTCTCGACAAGGCTCACGACTGTGACGACTCGACGAGTGCTTGCCAGACTCGGTACCGGGCCTGTATTGTACTCGACATCGGATCGCGGTATGGTTCCAAAGTTGGATTGATTTGATAATCAGGAACATCACCATCAAGCAATCGTCGATTTGTCATGTCTGGCCATTCTCAATTGAACTTGGCCACTCGAAACTCACCTACCACTGTTGCTCTGATCACTAGTCTCGCAGCATCAATATTCCCGATCTCACTGATATGGAAATTCCGTTGGAATAGTACGTCAATTTGCATTTGATGATCTAGTCTCATTCTCAAGTTTTCTGATCCTTACTCATTCTTTCTTTCATTGACTCAGGCAGATTCGGGCTCGATCATCTTCATTTACTTCTTATTCAACTCCTCTTCTTTATCTTAGCTCTCCGATTTTCACCTCGGGCTCGGAACCAAGCACGTACTACATCATTGCCTGTACCTCATTCTCGCACCAAATCTCAAAGCAAGCCTAAAAGTGATAGTCAACCGATCAAATCAACCGATCAGAAGGAAGACGTGCAAGATGAACTACATCAGAAAACAATTAAGACTTTACTTGAAGTTGTGGAGCCCCGCTTACTTCCCGCTGATCACCCTAGGGGCCCTCAAACATCCGCTGGTCTTTCTGATTGGCAACCGATCTTTGCAGATGCACCGGAATCGATCCATGTCCTTCAACATCCCACTATTCAATCTCTTTACGCTGTGAGGACAATCATGGATGACGTGGATGTTGAACGACTGTCACGATGTCTGCGTAAGAAGAAGCAATGGGAATGGGATCGAATGTGTGAAGGTGGAGGAGATTTGGAAGAGAAAGTAAGTTGGGTACGATTAAAAGGGTCCTGGCCTATCAAGGTATGCCGATCTAGACATTTGATTCCCACTTATATCTTACTGTTTCTCATAGTGTGTATTGCCCTTTCGAGTGTCTTATCTCAGCCTAAGCAAATGGTCATGTACGCTACCAGTGTTCGCCTCTCACCTGAAACTCCTCTTCGAATTCTGTGCGCTTCAACCACAGTTACACATCCTCTGAAAAAGTCAGATGTAACGGTCAAGTACGCAGGGTATTTGATCGAACAAGTCTCCAATAAAGAATCGTCTAGTCAATTCACACTGGTCATCGATCTTGCTAGCTTTGGTAGTAAGTAATCAAAGACTTTCTTTTTCCGGCGTCTGATCAATCTATTCATGAGTTTATACTTTTTAACAGGTTTACCTACATTTATAATCAAAACTATTCTTACTAAATATATTCCATCATCACTAAGGTTGCTCCATCGCTTAGCAAAGACCTTCCCAGACTCTACCTCAACCGATCAAGAACCATTACCACCTCTATGGAATCAATCCAATCAAACAAAACAAGAAAAAGGATCAATCTCAAATGATAAAGTTGAAGAACCTCTTCAAGAAATTGTTGGACAACTTAAACAGCTTCTTTCCACTTTATCTACCATTCAACGATCATCACAAAGTCCAGAGGTTCGATCAAATAAATGGACAGATCGAGCTTGGTTTTGGGCTGGTACTGCTGGTTTGATGATGAGTAGTGGAATTGCTTTGAGGATTCTGAATCAAGCTCGCGGTCAACGAAGTCAGAGGCAGTGAGCATGTATCAGGAACACCTTTCCCATTTTGATTTGTTGTTGAATTTGTCGTTATTCGATTGCTATTTTTTGTATTGTATTTTACATTTAAAATGGCAACAGTCAACTTGAAATATATAATATAAAGAGAGTTGTCGAGTTTTAGATACACGATTGAACCCTCTCGTCTATCCTTGATGGTGCTGCCTCTTGAGGGAAGCTTGGCAGTGCTCATAGTTCATGTCTTTGTAGTACACTGTGAGTGCACTCACATTTCCGTACTAGTTGTGTGATCATTACAACTTCAACTCCGGGGTGTTAAAGATCTCGTCCATCATGTGATGAGGGTATTGTCATGCTTGCTTGATATTCATTAACAGTTATATCAGGTCGCGCAAACAATTCGGTAGCGAACAAGTTTCGAATCTAGTTTCCATTTAGATTGAACAAGCCTTTCTTTGAGTGGAATTAGTTTATCATCAATTTATGTACCCTTAAAGGATCCATCTTACAATATGGTGTATAGTTTACAAAAAGATTCGGACTTGTTTGTATCATGAGCCTTTTTCATAACATTGTTGAAGATGTAATGGGTTTCGTTGAAGCTTTTGCTCAATCAGATTGTTTTTTCGGGGTCCTCTTTCCGTGCGAGCTCTTTTTGAAAATATTTCTTGTATGGGCATTAGAATAGAATGCCGCTCAGGATGATGATCGGTGCTAGCTTATGGCCCTTGACTTCATCTAATAGCCGAATTGAAAATGTCGAGTCTGGAACATGCGGGCTAGTGATCGGGTGACAAGAGTCGAACAACTGTTGAACGAGTAGTGTTGGTTTCAGCACAATCAGTTTGATATGATCAAACCAAACAAAAGTGAGCTGACATTACCTGCTATAACAACCAAAAAGATGAATCTAAATCACGCTCGGTGATCTTTCCACTCTTCCCAAGACCTCTTCTTTATGACCGCGTCGCCTAACTTCAACCCTTTATCCTCTTGCTCCCATACATCAGTTCTCCAGATAGAAACGTTCCACTCTTTCATCTCTTCAAAAATATCTTTAGACATCCAAAATGTGACTTCCTGTGCGTTGACATTCAAATGGAAGGTGCTCATACACCGTAGGCCCCTATCTCTGAGCTCAAGCAATTTCGAGTCCATGTCCGTTATATCATCAATTAGAAATGGTCGTAAACATTTAGGTGGCTGTCCAAAGGTCTGTTCATCATGGAAAACCAGCATCGAGTGTGGCACTTGACCGTCGCATACGTTCAAATCAGGAAACTTGACGGTATACTGTACAATATCCTCTACGCAAGGAACGTAGGAAGGCAAGACAAGTCCGACGTTCAGAAGGGAGCGCCATAGTCCGGTCAGGGTCGCGAACTCCAAAAGCCACGGTGTCGTACAAAAGGATTGTGCTGGGTAAGATGTGTCGACATCTTTGGTTGTAAGAACCTATGATGCAATACTACATTAGTAAACAAACCAAAACAGATTCATATCACGTTTAATCAATGAGACTGACCTGTTGCAGTGGCGGGCGGGCAGTGGTGGTGATCTTGCCCGAAAAGATGGAGTCGATCAAATTCGAGATCCAGTGAGCTGGGTATCCCAATTCAGACACGTGCTTCAACAAGCGAAGAAACGCAGTCATATTGAGCGGAGCGAAAATGAGTGCTAGATCACTGTCACCCCTGACACGTGGATAAGGCACACATATTTTAAGGAAATGTGTGTAGAGCCAGTGTAAAAGCTTTGGTTGAGGCATACGCTGCTCAAAGGTCAAGGATTGCTGTGGGATACGCTCCCAGAGGAAGTACTGCATTGAGGGCATCGGACCTGCGCTACTTTCGGGAGTTGCTGGGGATAGTTTGAGATGAAAGTGAGACTGGACCAATTTGAGATCGTACATAACAAGATATTCGCAGAGAAACTGAGAGAGGGTTTTGAATGATGCTGGGTTCCGGAGGTTACATGAGACAACACCTGTTCCTGGACCATGCTCAAGGAGCGGCACACCATACAGAAAGGACGTGAGAGGACCACCAACATAATCGCTATCTAGCGAGGATTCAGATCAGATGATTGGCTCTGTTTGATGGAGAAGGATAAACCAAGATCTTGACTTACGGAATATTGCTCAGGTGGATAACATGGTATTTGTGGGGTCGCTTTGACAATAACAAGCAATCCTTAGATTTGGTCTCTGTGGTACGTGAAAGAGTTTGATATCGCATTTTCTCGAGGCAATCGGCCATCTCCCCAAGGCAGACCTCTACCAACATACGGTCACGAAGGCCATGGATGGCTTGACCGACCATCATAAAATAAAATTCCGCAACGTTCATGAGCATTTTCCCGTCTGATATGGTGCTTTCTGGTTGACCCAAGCCTTTCATAAGATTCCCGAATACTTCGAACGGTGTAAAGCTCGTTTCTGGGTGTGGTAGATGTCCAGCCACGGCGTTTTCATTCTCCCACACGATGTCCGCTAGGGTGATGTTGGGTTTCCATGTGTTGTCAATGTGTGAAGATATACGCGCCTTTTCGCTACTATCCTTGTTTTTGACATAGTTTCGGATCATCTTGACTAGGTCCATATCATGCTCAATTAGCAAATGGTCATCAGGCAAGACAATTGAGAAGTCTTCATAGACACGCTGATCTAACTCAAGTTGAGGAAAAGGTGTGTATGAGTTTGGATCAGGACGTCCAAATGTGCTCATTTTCCCCATCTTTCTTGATAAGTTATCTTGTTTTGTGAGCTCGCGAAAACGTTGAGTTGAATATGATTCAGTTGGCCCTAGTCTCCAGGATTCGAGACTAGGTCGAGTATCGACCTGGACCGCGAGAGGAATGTAAACCCAGGAGATTGGTTGCTCGGAATTGTCAAAGGAGTCTAGAAGTCGTTCAATGACAGCTTGAATTCGGTCCCAAGCATAAGCGGGCATCACATGGGTGGCATAAAGATATGATGCAACACTGATTGTCTCAAACAACTCCTGGCTCATGGTGTGTTCGTCTGTTAAGCCCATGGCGTGAGATATGTCGTCCAAGAGGACGAATAAAATCAAATCCCGAGCGATTGTAGCAGGTTTGATATCCAAAATAGTAAAATGGAGCCTTTGATTTGACTCGGAAGACTGAGGGCCTTCGAAATGATAATGTATCATCGTTTGTAGCATATTACGAGCATCGCCTACCCCGCAAAACATAAACGATGCAACTTCGGTTTCCTTCGTCGTTCCCCGAAGTGTCTGGCCGTACTGAGACTCCGGAACATCGTGGCCACAGGCGTAGTAGCTCCTGTCGTTGGTCAGGTAAGGCCTGTATCTCGGTAAACCCAATATGGCAGTGCGATGCGACTCTTTGACGATAGAGTCATCAGGACCGGAGTGGTAACGCTTGGCCTTGGTAAGACGTGTAAGCAGTTTTTGCTTTCGTGGATCATCATCGGTATCTCTCTCCAGGAGAGCTAGAGCGTTGATCGAGTATTGTGCGCTTTTCTCGTAGTCCCCTGCTTCAAAGGTAGCGGCGGATAGATTAGATAAAGGTGTAGGGTCCGCGGGAAGGAGCGCTGCAGCTGTTTTATAGGCTTCAATGGCTATAAAACAGTTTGAATCGTCAGTATAATTATCATGAGGAAACAAGAAGGTCACGGTAATCACGTGTAGATGTTGCGAAATCTTACCTTTAGTAAACTGACAAGCTTTGTAGTGTGCATTGCCTCGCTGACGAGCCTGCTCAGCGTGTTCGGAGTTGTTGGGCGACATCTTGAAATCAAAAAATCAATCAGCAGTCCCAATTAAAAAAGTGCCGAGCACGCGTTGCGCCGGAACGCGGGGCGCGCACACGAAGCTCTCAACAAACCGGCCCGCGTGCCTAGCATGCTTTTCAAGATTCAACTCCTGGCTCCTTGCACACAATTGTCCAGACTGTCTGCAACAAACTGAACGCAAGTTGTGTTGTTGAAATCTTGAGGAGAAATGAATCAAGTGTTCGCTATTCCTATACTATGTGAGTGAATAAGATGATAAGAAAACCTGGAGTCAGAGCCATTCCGAAAAACGGACCAGGTGAACTGACGATAAAAACCTTTCTCCAAAACTTTAGCTGGCTTTCCATCCCATGAAGGTTTGTTACCCAAGGTGATTCAACTGTTTTTCCAATCGGCTTTATTGTCCAAGGACCTATTTAATTACAAAACTAAGAAGTTCTCAATGCGATCATCTCAAGACCTTTGTTGGTCAGGAATTCTAACGAGTTTCGTTTTCTGATCTTTATAGTGGATAGCTCTGATCGCTCTAATCTCAGTATTAAATACCTTTCAAAACTTTCTGACATTAAAGTTTACCAAGAACATTTATAGTAAAAAACCACAACTCGGTAAGATCATTGACACAAAAAGATTTCTTTTCCAAAAACTCTTCAAAACCTGATTATATTTTTGAGACCATTGGATCGATGTATAGTAAATCCCCTTCAATCACGTACTTTTGGAGTATGGACACTTACATCTGGATTAATTCGACTCTATACCGCTTATAATATCAACCATCCTGCGTAAGACACTGGGCTATTTGATCTTTGAAAACATGTTTTTTTGGGGGGAGATGATCAAGCTGATTGATATGAATTTTTTAGATTGTATCAATTAACAATTGGTTCTTATCTGATTGCATTCTTTCATTTTGGAAGTGAATTGATCGGATTTAAAACTTGTCAAATTAGTTCTGGTTTGATTTCTCCTTTGATTGTAGCTTGTAAGTTTATGCTTTTTTTTTGATATTCCATTCCTTTTTTTTTATTTTGGGTTTCTGAATGAATTGATTGATCTTTTTTTTTCGTAGCTACTTCTTTGATTTGGATGTTAAGACAATATGATTTTTATGTGAAGTAAAGTTTGAATAATATACCTTCTTTATTAAAGTTCTTGAGGGTCTGAGTGCTGCTATGATTGTCAAGGTGAAGGCTTCTTTGAAAATAAATGTCTCTGGACAAATGTCATAAAGATGGCATTTCTTTGGTAGCTTTGTTAACATGACCCAGCTACTGAATCGTAAAAAATCGTCCTATGCGGGTTCTCGGTCTGATTTTTTCACTATTTGGCCAAGTCTTAGTTTCTGATCAAGGCAAAGCTTTCCTGATCAATGTGAGATCTTAAAGGAAACTCATGAATATACTTGATCTCTGCTTCTTTCAAGATGAATGATTCTGGAACAGACGTGTCATTGTCAAGCTCTGTCAAGCTGGAAACAATACAAGTACAAGATCATAGATGCCATGAGGTTGAATGTATAGATTGTTCCCGTTAGATTCAAGATGGACAGCAACCACGTAAGGGATTAGCTATCAAAGCAGACGTGATGGGCTGTAAGTTGTTGACTTTTGTAGATAACCTCTCCCTTTTCCCCCTCACCTGGGCTGTCAAGCAAATATGTACCCAAGCAAGGGCGATGAAGGTGTCGTATTGTTAGCGTAATGCTTTATTTCCTCTGAAGTGATTTTCTGGTTCTCAGAAATAGTTCGGACATGTCAAGTTATGCTCGCCTCTCGCCTTTGATAGGTATCATTAAATCATTTTGTAAAGTAATTGTTGAGCAATTCTGGACGGAGAGCATCATGTTGATATGGATGTGGTGGACGAAGCGTTGGATCAGATACATGTAGAAAATGTGTGATTTATTTACCCATGTTATTTGCTTTATCATAAGAATCGTGATAGGCACTAAAACAAACACAGACTGGCAAGTCATACCGCAAGGGAAGTCTGAGCGTCAAGGATTAGTTCAAGATAGGTGAGGATAACTCAAGAAGTTGGAATCGTGGGTGGTGGAGTGGAATTCGAAAAGGCGTCGGGTGTTACAGTTCTTGGTCAGTTGAAAGGTGTCACACGTGCGATAAATTAAATTACAATCAACTTGATCGATCAGATTGTCTGTTCCTCTTCAAATCAGTTTACCGCCCAGTCCATTTCTCATCATCACAGTCAAACCCTGCTTCCTCTGAATTTATTTATTTTTAATTACTTTCCCTTTGTTTCTCTCTAAATAGTCAACTACATAGCCTTCTCTCGATCAAGGAAGTAAAGAAGTAAATTTGTCTGTAAGACCTTTTCTATTTCCTTGAATGATGTGTCGATAAACAGTAACATTTATATTCTAAGCTGACCCTGTTGACTTGATCACGTAATCAGTCACGAAAACCTTTCAATAACATAAAAAGCAGTCATGAGTAACAGTTTACCAAAGTCGGTGGATGTGTTGATCATTGGTGCCGGTCCTACGTACGTAAACCTTGAAACGAGACTTTGGTGATGTCATCCGAAACTGATGAGTCAATGAATTCCGAATAATCTTAATGATATGTGAATACAGTGGATTGGGAGCAGCGAGACGACTACATCAACTCGTCAGCCGACCTAGCCTTATAGGGGATACCCAAGATTTCTATCAGGACTAACTTTCAATATTATGTCAACTGTTCACAGAAACACGCTTCTTACTTGGTGGTAGACGAACAGGCAGAGGCAGGTGGACTTGCTTCCACTGATGTCACCAAAGAAGGCTTCTTGTTCGATGTGGGCGGGTAAGTCAAACTTCTGAAAGTAGCCTCTTGATTTGTGTTTCATATCCTCGTATAATTTGGATTTTGTACTGACCAATTTATGATGTTATCAAATGCGCAAATCTTACATTAGTCACGTCATCTTTTCTCATTATCAATACTTTGATGATATGATTGCAGAAGCACTTCCAAAAGAGACAGACTGGTACACTCATCAGCGAATTTCATACGTCCGTAGTCGTAATACTTGGGTGGCTTATCCTTACCAGGTTAGTGTCCTACTTTTTATGTCGTAATATGAATTTCCCCAGGTTGACTCAACTATCTACGTGATTCTTTTAGAACAATATCAGTCAGTTGCCTATCGAGGATCAAGTCAATTGTATTGATGGTATGATCGATGCGGCCGAGGAACGCGCGCGCGCCAAATCAAAGCCCAAGTCGTTTGATGAGTGGATTGTGCGTATGATGGGTAGGTTCTTGATCTCTTGGGAATTGCATGTGATCGTGTTCAAATTTAATTTTATCGGTCTATTTGTATATCAGGGACTGGGTTGGCGGATTTGTTTATGAGACCGTATAACTTCAAGGTTTGGGCTGTCCCAACCACTCACGTGAGTTGGTCTCCATTGAATTCCCTCGATCACGAGTCGTAAATTGCTCCCATGTAATTTGGCTGATCCATGATGATGATTGATCTTGAACAATTATTATAGATGCAATGCGAGTGGCTTGGAGAACGAGTTGCTGCTCCCTCCCTCAAGCAGGTTGTCAAAAATACGCTCTACAAGAAAGAGGCCGGCAATTGGGGCCCCAATGCTACCTTCAAGTTTCCAGCTGAGGGTGGTACTGGTGGGATCTGGAAAGCTGTTGCGCGGTGCATACCATCAGACAAATTTGCATTTGGTCGTCGATTAGTCAGTATTGATGGAAAGGCTCGTAAGGCCTCTTTTGATGATGGATCGGTGATCGAGTATGGCAAGATGATCAGCTGTGTACCGCTTGACACCATGGTGGGAATGATCGAGGCTGAAGCGCAGAAGCCTCTTAAGCCAATCTCAGACGGTTTGGTTTACTCCAGCACTCATGTTGTTGGTTTCGGAATCCGTGGAAATCCTACGGTTAGCTCTTCCTCTGACGTTGACCGGACTTGCTCTCTGTACCCGAACTTACCTAGTTTGAATTTCAGGGAGCAATGAAAGGTAGTTGTTGGTTGTACTACCCCGAAGACAACTGTCCCTTTTACCGAGTGACAGTATTCTCCAACTACTCGCCCAACAACTGTCCAAAGACGGGCACGAAAATCAGGACGCTTCAGGCAGCTGACCCAGCCTTGAACGGTCAAATTGATCTTCAAACTGAACGGGAAGGGCCATGTCAGTACTTCTTTTCTCTGTCCCGAAGTCAACGTTGGACTAAATCAAGTTTGTGTGGGGACCGATCCCATAGATTGGTCACTGATGTTAGAGATCTCACAGAGCAAGATGAAACCAGTGGATGAGGTCAATCTGATCAAAGACTCGCTGCAAGGCTTGATCAACACGGAGATGGTTGAACCCGGCGCAGAGATCGTATCGATCTATCACCGTAAATTCGATCACGGTTATCCCACACCCAGTTTGGAGCGTGAGGGTGTAAGTATGGCTTGTGATTCTTTTATATGACATTGGTGACTGACCTCGCTTTTCTACCTTGGTCTTCATCTTCTGTATGCGGTTGTACAGCAATTGAAAGTCTTGTTACCAGCTTTGAAGGATGAGTTTGGTATCTGGTCTCGTGGACGATTTGGTTCTTATCGATACGAGGTCAGTACTTATCGATACGATGAGAGTTCATATGAATGAAGGTGCAGCTTCACTGACTCTCGAAATGTCCATTGAATTCATTTTTGGTGAATCACATTGATCAGGTAGCGAACCAAGATCACTCCTGGTAAGTGGCTCATAACGAGATATAGGCACTCCTTCGAATTGATGTTAATATACACTCATTCTGCATGCGCGCCTTTAGTATGATTGGTGTTGAAGGTGCGTTTGTCCGAACCTACCATACTAATCATCTGGAAGTTTGACACGCAAGGCTGACTTTGTTTCAATTTTGGTACGGTCGGTTCTTTAGCGGTTGATAACATCTTGTATGGGGCACCAGAAATGACTTTGAATGAACCTGATTGGGTCAACGGGTCAGTGCCTATTTGCGCCCTTTATCTGACTTCCGAAGCTCTGTGTTTGATCCCTTCGTCATATCACTTCAACTGATCGCTCGATTTTTTATTACATGCTTTTTGCCGGCTGATGATTTTGGTTCTACAGGAGGAAGAACACTGAGCGAAGGCTGGTATGATGGATCAATTTTGTTGACCCAGTCCCCGCTCTTCATCACATCAAGATGATGTGATGATAATGTCAAGGGAAAATTTCTTTTTTGGAATCTTTTGGATTTTAGAAATGGTGAAAGTAGATTTGCATAATAGATAATATGGTTTTTGGTAATGGAGGGCATAAGTTTTTAGTAAATCTTTTTAGCAGACATGGACAGTCGATGATGTAGAGGTGGTGATTAAATTGGTGAACTGGCCAATCATTTTCTAGAGTTAAATTGATGTATCAGATGATGCAACATAGGATCATAGAGGCGCGTCTTTGGAATACATCGTGTTCTTTTGTAGCGTGATTACATTGGGTGCACATCTTTAGCCTCTTTGGTGTGACCCCTTTCTCCCAAGCTTTGTGTTGGATGATGAGTGAAGGATCTTTTGCGAGCTCAAAGGTCAGACACTGACAATTTTTGATATATCAAGATCTTTCATAGGGATAGGATTCAACAGTTTCATTTGATGTGGGTACCACTCCAGGTACCAAAAGACAACGCACATGTCATCTGATTATATGTTCTGAATGACTTGATGATGCTTATGCTTGTGTCCCATGACTTACATCTGTCTGAGAAAGTGGTATGCAACACTATCAATTGCTTTTTCCGCTCATGAGGTTTGATTGGTTAGAAAAGTCATTGTTATATTCAACACAAATCAATTTTATATTTCTTTCTATTCACCACAATAGTCTACCATTTGGCTTGAAAATTCTAACACAGTACCGTAGCTTGTTTGCAAGGACATAAAGAGGAATATGGCACATGAGACGGCGTTCATAGCTTCTGAAAGGGTATGGTTTGAAGGGGCGTTCACTTAAGCAATTCCTGGCTGGAAATCGCATTCTACAAAATTTAGAATGCTGGCTTGGTGGAGAGTATGGTTCATTCTTGCATTTTAAAATTCACAGAATGCAATTTCTGGACGAAAATTGGTGAACCACCCTAAGCCATTTTTGATGTATATATGCGCATAAGTTGAGCCTTTCAATCGCAACCCTCCCCGCCCCTTCTGACAGACAACATGTGTATTGAAGTGATTTCAAAGTTTGGAGAAGGCAAAAAACCCAAAGTCACTATTGGATTGCTTAAGTTTTTTAAAAACCTATTGCCACCAACTTTGCTAGCCATGTAAGTCTAGAAAGCAAATTTTGCACACCAAGGAAGATGTCCTTGGAGGGATATTACCTGCACAAATTTGGATGTAGATCTGGCCATAAAGTCTTCTGGTGTGACTGAATATTTTTTGAAAGAAGTTTGATTGATACAACATAGACAGGCTGTTCATTGCACAAAGGTCCACATACACCTGATCATTTCTTTTAAAACATGTATTATACAAAAGCAATCTTAAAATGTCTAGATAGTTGAAAGATACAGAAAAACAAAATATGTGACACGGATTTGTATGAGACAAAGTTGGAGTTTTGGTTACGTTCAGATCACTTCCAGTCTAATCACTTGGGAAGGAGCATTATTAAAGATAGGGATGAAGGATGTAGATGAGATACAGATACAGATGACTGGGATAGATTTATGGATATGGAATTCAATTGGTGTTGAAATTTACTTTGTTTTCACCAATCAAAGGATTCACTGTGAGTTCAAAGAGAGGATGTTTAACACATCAGGGTATGTATCTTGAAAAAATTAGATATCATACAATAGAGAATGAAATTGCTTACGTGTGAAGGTTGAGACCTCCAACTTTATAAGCAAGGGTTGAATCTGCATTACAAACTGCATTACTCATTGCAGTGACCAACTGTCTAGGACCACAAACACCGATCCCGATCCCATTTCCTACTGAATCACCTCTACCTTCGATAGACATTTTCGTACGCTCTGAAACTGTTTGGATTAAAGCATTGAGATCTACTCTCGATTGGATTAATTTCGAGTGAATTGTTGGTGGAAGTTGTACGCTTTTCGATTGAGTTGTTAGGTGTATATTAAAGGTAACTTCTAAACCTGCTCTCAAGGCTAGTTCAATAGTATCATTCAATGATTTTGAGAAGGGCTGAGCCATATCTGAATGAATTTTTGAAACCAATGGTATGGGTTGTTATTTATTATCCTTTTGACGACAAGAAAGTTGAGAATGTGGACTCACCTAGGTCACGTAGACTCCATACAATGAAAATTGTTCGAGTGATAGCCTCTCCACGGACCACTTGACCCACAGTCTACAGAAAGGAATATAAATTTTGAACATGAAGAGGTTGATTAGTTTGAGGGGGGTAGACTGACCTCTTCGATATTAGCCATACACCAACTGAATCCACTTCCACCAGATACGAAGAGAACAGTCTCATATTTAGACATATCCGTATAAATTGATCCATATGGCCTGGGTTGTTTTTAAGAAAGGTAGATAAAATCCGTTCAGAAGGAAGCTTTGATAGAGATTTGAATGTTTCACTTACCCTTCGATAGCTACAGGTATTTTTGAGGTCTCCTCAAGTTGCAAACTTTCGAGGTTTTTGTCAGACTCTGTGTCTTTCTCAAATTGTTCTGGTAAGGTGATGTTTTTACTAAGACCTATTGAATATATCGCCTATAAATTTAATGAAACAGAAACATTCGAGTTCAGATCTTGAATAGCTTTTATTGAAGCTTATGCACTTGTTTTTACCTTGGTATAGTCACCGGCGGCTTTGGCAATTAAAATAAGCTTATTGTTATGTCTGGAGGGAGTAAATAGATCGAGTTATCACACTTATCAGAATCTGTGATAAAATGCTTGTTTGACAAGAGAAAGGAATGATACGTGCAATGTTGATGAAGTACTAGCTGGCGCATTTGCGATGGTAAAAGGATGCTGTAAAGACCAAGATATCTCGAATGAGCATATAAGAAGAATATGATAATTAATGGTGCCTAACGCACTTTTTGCAAAGCTGAGGTACCTTTCATCACGCGAAGATAGACATGTTGACCTGTTGTAATGAAGATCTTTTTTCAGTTTACTTATCTATAATTCTTGGAAATCAAAAGGCTTTCTGCTCACCAGCGTGCCAACCATCTCCTAACTGGTCCACTTCCACCTTAGTCACCTGACCAGGTAGGGCGGTCAGAGTTGCTGAACGTAGACGGGTTTTGAAAAGGTAGACCTGTGCTATATCAATCACAAGGGCAGCGATTGCCACTCCTACATACTGACTCGTCGAAAGTCGAGTTAGTCAGCATCCTTCACAGGTCTTATAGATTAAAAATTGTAGCTTACAGGAAGTAACGTCTTGACGTGTAGCGCAAGGGCCACTAATACAATCAAGTAACTTTAGAGAGAATGATACACGATAAGTTCACATCCAGATCAACAGGGGATGGTTATGAGTGAAATGTTAGCTTTGGACGAACCTAAGGACGTGTAAAACAATAAAAGTTTGATAGAAACGAGCTCTGATAGGTTTCAAGGAGCTGATCAAGATGATCACAAAAGCTAACAAGGCCACTAGGCCGGACACAATAGTGGTTCCGAATGAAACTTTTCCTCCTGATGTCAGTTTGAGGTTAAAATAAATTCCAGCATGAATAAGGGCTAAGGACATGAGCAGAAGTGATATATGGTAACTTGGTCAACTTAATGAGGTCAAAGATCGAAATTTAACCTGCATAGAGTAAGATAATTTACCTGCGATTATAAGAAGCCGAGCTGAATAAAAATGATGAATGAGTCAAAGTATGAACTCGTATGGAACTGAGATAGAATATGACCTACAGATAAAGCGATGGATGTAATTAACACACTCGTATCCCTTTCCCAAGATTGCTAGGGGAGTATTTTTCATAGCAAGTATATAAACAAGTGGTAACAAGGTGGCCGCCACCCATCCCGGTCTTTTAAAATTCGATTGAGAAGTGTGAAGGTTTTTGTTCAAAAGTCCAAATAGAAACACGACAAAAATAGCCTAGGCATGCAAAACAGGAAGTGTAAGCCTCTGAGCGTATTGAGTGGAGAAGATGGGACGATCTCACGAGTAAGAGTAGAAATTGTCCTATTGTAAGGTTGATGAAGGGAATGACGCGCAAGAAGGATGTGTTGTAAAATTGGCGAACCCAAATGGGATTGATGGATTGAGGTATTTTTTTATTCGGACTTATGCGTGAGTTTGTTAAGGATCTGCTCTGAAGGGTATCTCCAGTATAAGTTTTTAGAGTCCAGCCTTTTTTGATCCGACCTGGGACCATATGCATATAAACCAATGGTAATGTTACAAACATCACCACCTATATAAACACAAAGCAAAGTTTGATAAAAGTAAATAGCCATGATGAGTCATTTGTGCAAAGTGAATGAACACTGGATTGAGGTGACGCACTAGAAAGATCACTGCGAAAAGGATAAACATGGTCGAACTTGTCGCTTCCGAGGTTTTGGCCGCAGCCATCTTCGCCATTGCAGTTTTTTGAGCGGCGGACACATCGTTTTGAGCTGGGGGGTCGGCGGATGACATTTTGGATATGGAATCCTGCACACAGTCTCTTGAAAGATGGTAACTTTAAGCAAACAGATAAAATACAAAGCTGACACTGTCGTGGCAAAACCGAGGCAAATGGTGAGGCCTGGCAAACTGATTTACAAAATTAACTCTAGCTTTGTCTGAGTATGAGTTTTCGAGAGGATTCCTGCGGCAGTCGAGATGATATTTCAATCAAGTGGTGATTCTGTGATAAAATGTGGAAACCTCTAGGTATAACGTTAACGGAGAAGTACTGACACACTCGAAAAACAAGAAAAATAAAAAGTTGACTCGTTCGAAGCAGAATCACAGCAATCGAACCATTCGCATCAATGGGCCATTTCACCGAGTAAAAGGCTCAAGGAGGAAGAATCCGTGGCTCAAGGAGTGTTTGAGACCAATGTTTAGCGGAGTTTCTCTAACTTGTCCCATAGAGGTCAAGTCTATTGCAAGCAAGCAAGAACACCATTCGACTCGTCTGAACCGCATACATACATGACATGATGGATTCACATCCTTCGCGGTCTGAACAACTGATTATGTTAGCTTGGCAATAAGAAATTTGGCAAAACCTCAACCCTTCCTTGATCAATCATCGGCCATCAATTCAGCGATATGCTAAACCTACTTCGAACATCATTCTGACTTGAAGACTTCGATCCGACTTCTCCCTTCGGCGGTTGTCCATCAATGAAGTTCAAAGGTCGACACTTCAAGTTCTGCCACGGCCAGGAAAGTTGCTGCAAGGGATGCGGATCGATGCTCATCTCGATGAGTGCCTCGCAAGTCTGGATGAAATGAGCAAGTATGGTGTACGTGTAGACTCATACTGACATATAAACATGACATGGGTAAAACATGTAATTTTTCCATGTCATGTTTGGTTGAAATTCATCCCCGAGCCAAATACCGTACGACACGACTCATACTGACACACATCGACATGGATTTTTGATTTAAAAAAACCGTGTCGTAACATGAGTCATGGCGGACGGTCTGATGGCCGAGAAGTGCCATACTGACAAAAACATGACACTATCTTGCATCTAATAGCTTTACCCGATTCACCACCGGTACATAGTCAACCGTTCCCACCTACCAACTCAAACATTCCCTCCTTCACTTTTGTTTCTTTGAGCAAGTATTTCAACTCCTTCTATCTTTGAAGTACTCACAATATTCAACTTGGAACTCATCAATTTTCCATCAAAAGTCACTTTCTTTTCTGTTCAATTATTGGACTGTTCTCTTTCTCAGGTTTAGATTCCTCTTCTCAGTCCACCCCCTTTCAATCCATTTGTTATTTCTTAGCTAACAATGGTTTAACATTTTTTTGTGATTAGGCACAAAAACAATCTCCATCTGATTCAATCGAAGTCAATCGCTTTCATCTGATTCAATCGAAATCAATCGTTTTCATCCGATTCAATCGAAATCGATTGTTTTCATCCGATTCAATCGAAATCGATTGCTTTCATCCGATCCAATCAATATTGATCATTTCCAGACTCCATCTGATCCAATCAAAATCGATTGTCTCCATCTGATTCACCTAAACTCAATCATCTCAACTGTTCATCATTCAATCAAACCAAATTACACTGAATCTTTAGTTTCTAATCAAAACAATCAAAACAAGCCATCTCATTTATTAAATTCAAAACAATTCATTTCAATTTCTTCAAAGTAATGCAAATTTTTTATCTTTAGATTCATCCATTTAAATCACAATGATGATGTGAGATAAAACTTAATTCTTTCTTCCATGATGGTCAGATACCAGTACACGCAGAAGTCTCACAGGCCAATTTGATAGAGGATGGAATCAGATCTTGCATGTTCATTCTTCACTATGTGAATGCGGAACTACTTGATCTCCATTCCTCTATCAAATTGGTTTTGGATCATGATGATTCACGGTCACTGCTGAGGTTCAACTGTACCTGTCATCCCCAAGACTGGGTTGGCTTCACGCACCAGATTCTTGTGGGTAGGGTTTGACGCAGACCTTACGCAAGCCTAATTATCATGATCCAAGTGTGGGATGGACACTGAAAGTGGGTGGCTATCTGACTATAAGGAATCTTTAACTGATGAGATTTTTCTGTGGATCAGTGATAAGGAGAAGTATAGAACATGAACAAGAAGTCTGCGTCATTTTTAGATGTTTATTATTGTTTCTCTCCTCAAATTGTTTCTTGATTTATTTCCCTAGTTCTAACTTGTAATTCACTTTGCACTTGTTCTAATTTATAATTACCTTTGCAAAAGAAGATGGGGCCCTAGATAAGGGCCCTTTTGGAACTCTTGCCAAAAAGTGTTACACAAAAACACTTTTTTGATCCACTGCTTTTTTAAGGGGCAGATCCAAAAAGCTAGAGTCGGTTCTACGCTTTACCAAACAGTCAATCAAAAAGCTTGACATAAACCACAATGATCTGTTGTTGACTCTTTTGCCATTTGGTAAAGTGTATATTGACATCATATAACAATTGAGAATGATTGGATTGGAAATTCAATCTTAATGTTGTAGTCATCACTCAATCTCAACACCACCCATAGCCATTATAAAGTAGGCAAATCATCTGTCACATCAGAGGAAAGTATAATAAAAATCTGCAATGAAATTAAAAAATAGACCACTGAGAAATGGAAATGAGGATTTGAAGGAGATAAAAGGACGTTGTCAAGAGGCTGTGGGGTGAAGTGGAAAAGTTGAATGAAATTGATGAAGTTCAATTATCGGATAGTCCGATCCGAACGCAATATTCTGGAGAAATTTACATTTGGTGTCATGTTGTGTCAGTATGACACTTCCTGGACGGTACGATGTACGAGATGACTCATGTTACGACACGGGATTTGTAAATCAAAAATCCATGTCAATGTGTGTCAGTATGAGTCGTGTCGTACGGTATTTGGCTTGGGGATGAATTTTGACCAAACATGACATGGAAAAATTACATGTTTTACCCATGTCATGTTTATATGTCAGTATGAGTCTACACGTACACCATAAGCAAGAGTGCACCAAAGCTGGTCACGAAGAACTTTATTGGGAGGACACCAATGTCAACAACTGGATTGGGACCGAAGTAAGACTGAAATAGAAGATGTCTGATGGGACGACTCAATCCAATTTCAATCGAGCAGATGCTATCTGATGCTATCCTTGGTGAGCTTGGCCCTGGATACTCAGGACCTGTCACAGTTGGCTCAGATCAGACAGTATGTGTCCACACTCTTCTGCGAAGAACTAAAGAAACTCGAGTCACCGGAATGGTGATCTTAAGATGCCAGTAAACGGGCGTCAGTCTTTACGGCTCTGAACACCGAAGACAAGAATTGATCACACCTTAAGATGCCAGTAAACGGGCGTCAGTCTTTACGGCTCTGAACACCGAAGACAAGAATTGATCACACCTATTAAGGGTGAAAAGAAAATAACAAAGTACGCCACTTTGTTCCTCAGTGAACTGATTATTAATTTCATATAGCAGATGTATCTAACCTTAAGATGCCAGTAAACGGGCGTCAGTCTTTACGGCTCTGAACACCGAAGACAAGAATTGATCACACCTATTAAGGGTGAAAAGAAAATAACAAAGTCTGAAAGTAAGAGTGAAAGTGAGAAGTGAGAAAGATATTAATATTGATCTATTCGGATTGATGAATTAGATTATGAAATCCACTTACACGCCACTTTGTTCCTCAGTGAACTGATGAGGAAAAAGTGGCAATCGTGGGTGAGTGATCTTATTTAAATGTGATACAAAGGGAGGTTTAAGGTTAAGTTAACATAAACTAGGTGTGATAATTGTATGTAAATGTGATTGTGTTGTAAGATGTTTGATGTGTTTGATGATTTAGGTTGTATTCTGACATCTTCAACATCATCGTGGTTTTATCGTACGCACCCAGGGTGGCTATATGCGATTTAAAAACCCGGAGGAACTTCGGCATTTGCTTGAAAACATAAAAAAGGAAAAGAATCTATGTTCCAAAGTAAGTTCTTGTTTGTCATCAGTGATCACATTCCCTATCCTGTCTACTTATCAATGATATGTTCTTGACCATCAGACTAATCACACCTTCAAGTTCCACTTTTGAATATTTCAACTTCAGTTGTTGCTCTGTTAGCAACAAGACCACTATCTATACTATACTATACTATACTATACTATACCACTATATAAATATATCAGGTATAGTATAGTTTTCGACTATTTTTCAAAAAGACAGTAAGGGTATTCAAGATTCAAGAAGTGGCCTCCAGAAGTGTCAAGAAGTGACATCCAGAAGTGGCTCCAGAAGTTTCTTGAGTGACACTTCTGGAGCTTTCTTTGTAACTTTGAGAGCCCCATATCAAGTGGTAATACTCATCTGGGCACAAAAGTTCCAGAAAGGTTCCCTTCACATCTTTTCATCTTCATTTGCAATCAAACTCAAGTCACCTTTTCATTTTCATTTGCCCTCAAATCCAAAACAATTTGATTATAAGCCATAGACAGAAAGAAACTACAACATAACAAACACATGTTTTTTGGGCTTTTTGGAAGTAAACAGTGGTCTTTGATAATGATATGAAGATTGATTTCAAATCACGTTGATTGATTGAATCAATCAAAGCCAATGCCAAATCATATCAAGAGTGTTATGGTTCTTATAGGAAAGAATCAAAAATGAAAAGATGGGTCCCATCATTTGGTTATAACATGTTGATGTTCTGAAGAGAGTCATCCCTGAAAAAAACTCTGCTTGTGTGGTCACTGCGTGACCACACAGATCAGTGGAGTTCAGAGATTGTTATGATGTTATGTATGTGACAGTTCTAATTACATCATTACTGTTTGCTAATTATATTTCTCTTTAAATAGCTTTATATTCTATTAGCATATTTCACTTATATACCCTAGAATAGATTGTAGATAGGATTGGTTCTTCTTTACCTTCCCTCTTTGATCTGACAATCTGTTCTAGGTAAGCTCTAACTT